GAATGAAAGAAACCAAACACCTTACACAGCTAAACTATTACAGGTATTGTGAAGGGTCAAAATCTTTTGCTAAGTTAATGAAGTAGTAGTCTTCCACCTACAGCTTACATCACCTTTTCAGTTCGATTTATTTTCTTGCCCATTTTTTCTTCAGAATGCAAGGCTGTTGGAACCAAACTTCATTTCTTTCTGTTGAGGCACCTGTTCTATATTCATTTAGTTACTGTGTGGCATTTTTATGTTCTGAAAACCACAGTTGCTGTCATGAAATGACCCTAAGGTAATAAACCATGAATTATCTTTAAAACTTGGTAAAGGATTTTGAAGCTATAAACAAGTAAAATAATTTGCAGTCACTGTTATCGGATTTACCTAAAGAGACGATTTTGTGGCAAGATCGATTTATGACACAAATCATTGTAAAGATGGTGAATGGATATTCCAATTCATATGTACTTTGCTTTCAAATTGGGTGAGAACTGGAGGTAGAAATTGTGGGGGAAAGCTCCAAAATCAAGTTCATTAAAGAATTAGAGAAATAATTTTAAAGTGAGCAAGCACCTTTAAGACTAAGATCATGTTTAGTATAAGAAATGGGGAAGTTGCTTTAAATCTGCTGTGGAATAAAATTTTTTAAGTGCATGTAGTACATGCATACACACTGACATTGTATACCAACAAGTACTATGTCATGCTATGAAAACCACTGAGATCAAGAAGTACCAAGAGAACATTTTCTCTTTTGCAGTGATATGTTACCATTTTGTAACAAAGCTCTCTCTAAAGAACACCAACCAGTATATATAATGTGAACATATACATGTATATTTGTTTATACATGAATTATGGGTGTGTGTGTATAGCCAGTCCACTGACAGTATTAGTCATTATATTTGCCTGCTAAAATGACTTTTTAATATTTCCCATAGTTTCAGTAGCTTAAACATTTGGAATGGTGGGGGAAAGAATAAAATAACTGATTTTTCAGAATTGCAATATATATTTAAAAATGCATAAAAAGGGGAAAAAAGGACAAAATAGAGGTAAAGAAAAGCTAAGAGATAAAAGCAAAGGAGAGGAGTAGGGTGAGAAGGAAAGTAATGGGGTATTGAAGAAAAAGAATCAGAAATTAGGGAAAGGAACTAAAAAGAATTTGGAGACAGTCTCTCAATTACCTATGAGTGAGAGCTCAGAAATAGTTCCCTGAGGGGCGCCTGGGTGGCTCAGTTGGTTAAGCGACTGCCTTTGGCTCAGGTCATGATCCTGGAGTCCCAGGATGGAGTCCCAGGATCGAGTCCCGCATCGGGCTCCCTGCTGAGCAGGGAGTCTGCTTCTCCCTCTGACCTTCTTCCCTCTCATGCTCTCTCTCTACCATTCTCTCTCTCTCAATAAATAAATAAAAATCTTTAAAAAAAAAAAAAAAGAAATAGTTCCCTGAGGGAAGACCTCTTTGTTAAAGAATAGGTGAAAGAGACGAGAATGCTACAAGCTTCTCTTAGGATTGAAGACCTTATGGGAAGATGAAATCTTGCCAATCAACTATAAGTACAGAAAAGCAGACTTGAAAATAGTCCTTAAAAATGATCATTTCTTATACTCCACCTCCTAAAATACACATAATTTACTTCCTTTTTATTTATTTTTCCCTGTAGCCCTTTAACTGTTGGAGATAGAATTTGCCCACGGTGTCCTATAACTTACATTGGGGATTTATAGTCCACTCACCCAGTAAGTCTGAAGGCAGGTATTTGCGGGCATTGCACCCGCTGCTAAAAGGTATCCGAGTCCAGGTTTCTGAGACTTTTCTTGGCTTTTCATTAATGGTCTTAAGCTGGCTGTTCCAGCATCAGTTCTCATACTCTCACCAGGCAGAAGGAAAGGAGATGGTAAAGGGTAAAAGGGCATGAATATGCTGACTCTACTCACTTTAAAGGAGATTTTTCAGGGAGATCTGTCAGCTACTTGTACTTATATTTACTTGGCCAAAATCACATTACTTGGCCTTTGCTGTTTGAGAGAAGGACAAGGTAATGCAGGTTTGTAAAACTGAGCCCTTTGGTTGCTGCCCACACAATTGGGATGTCAGTAACAAAAGGGAGAAGACCTCTCCTTTTGAATTAAGTAAATTAAATTTACTGAAACTAAAATAATATGACTGGCTTTACCATTTTAAAGTAGTACATTTTTTAGTGAATAACTATGTCTTATAAAAAAAAATCATCCTAATGCATTACTCAATGTTTGATAATGACTACATTTTCTTTTCTTATAATATATTCCCGATAATCACTGGGAAAAAATTGAAAACCTAAATACAAATGAAGGGGTGCCTGGGTGGTTCAGATGGTTAAGCATCAGCCTTTGGCTCAGGTTGTGATCTCAGGGTCCTGGGATTGAGCCCCTCATCAGGCTCCCTGCTCAATGGGGAGTCTGCTTCTCCCTCTCCTACTGTCTGTCTCCTTCTGTCCCTCTCCCCTGCTCATGTGCTCTCTCTCTCTCAAATATAATTTTTAAAAAGAAAAATAAATGCAGATAAACTACTTACATGAATAAAATCAACATGAATAAAAAAAGATGAAAATACTTCTTGCATCAGTGGTATGGATGTCCACAGTCTCTGGAAGCATTAGGAATTTAATTTTTAAAATTTAAGTATAGTTGACATACAATATTATATTGGTTTCAGATGTACAACATAGTGATTTGACATTTATATATATTACAAAACGATCAACATGAAAAGTCTAGTCACCATCTGTCACTATACATAATTATTCAATATTATAGACAACATTTTCTATGTTGTACTCTATATCCCTGTGACTTATTTTATCTGGAAGTTTGTACCTCTCAATTCCCTTCACCTGTTTAACCCATCTCCCCCACCTCCTCCCCTCTGGCAAACAGTATTTGAGGCTGTTTCAGTTTTGTTTGATTAATTTGTTTGGATTTTTAAATTCCACATGTAAATGAAATCATATATAGTATTTGTCTTTCTCTGACTTATTTAACCTAACATAATACCCTCTAGGTCCATCCATGTTACAGCAAATAAGATTTCATTCTTTTATATCTGAGTAATACTCCATTGTATATCCCTATGTATGTATATACCGTATCTTCTTTATCCATTCATCTCCCAGTGGACACTTAAGTTGTTTCCATATCTTGGCTATTGTAAATAATGCTACAATAAATGTCTTTTTGAATTAGTGTTTACATTTTCTTCAGGTAAATACCCAGAAGTGGAATTTCTGGATTTTGGTATTTCTATATTTAATTTTTTTTAAGATTTTATTTATTTGAGAGAGAAGGAGAACACAGAGTGAGAGAGAGAAGCAGACTCCCCGCTTGAGCAGAGAGTCCAATGTGGAATTCAATCCCAGGACTCTGGGATCATGACCTGAGCCAAAGGAAAGCACTTAACCCAACTAAGTCACCCAGGCGCCCTCTATTTTTAATTCTTTGAGAAACCTCCCTAATGTTTCCCACAGTGGCTACACCAATCACAGTCCACCAACAGTGTATGAGGGTTAGCTTTCCTCCACATCCTTGCTGACATTTGTTATTTCTTGTCTCTTTGATGCTAGCCATTCTGACAGGTATGAGGTGATATCTCATCGTGGTTTTGATTTGCATTTCCCCAATGACAAGTGATGTTGAACATCTTTTTATATGTCTGTGACCACCTGTATGTTTTCTTTGGGGGGGGGGAAAGGGCTATTTAGGTCCTGTGCCAATTTTTTAATGGGATTTTTTTTTTTAGTGTGTAGTTGTAGAAGTCCCTTATATATTTTTGTTATTAACCCCTTATCAAATATCTCATTTGCAAATATATTCTCCCTTTCAGAGCGTTCCTTTATTTGATATATTAATGGTTTCCTTTGCTGTGCAAAAGCTTAGTTTGATGTAGACCCTATTTTCTGTTTTTGATGTTGTTTTCCTTCCCTCAGTAGAAAGATCCAAAAAATATTGCTAAAACCAATGACAAAGAGCTTATTTTTTTTTGCTATTAATATGCAACATTTATTGAACACTTAGTGTATGTAAGCCCTATTCCCATTAATCTTAGGAAAAGTAGGCATTATTTTCCCCATTTGCTCCTTGGGAAATTGGCACAGAGAGCTTTAGAACTTGACCAGAGTCACGGAAGTGAAATAGACAGCCAGGATCATATCCAAGTATTTTAGTACCATACTCTGCAGTTACATTTTATATCAACTCACTTCAATTTGAATTAAAATTCTTGAACATATTTAATTTGAAAAGTTCTTAGTAGCTATAACATCTGTTTATATGGATTCACCTGAGTAATGTGTTAGTAACAAATTGTATATTCAGCTTCAAAACTATCTACTGACCTATAACAGGTTTTTATCTAGACCAATATTCAAGACTATGTATTTGATTTCTTCTTTAGAACTTATTTGGTAATGTTTTCAGGTAACTAATTGAGGGCAACAAATACTGATTATGATTACCCTGGGTAACTGGCTTTCAGTTTCAGTTAAAGCACTTGACAGTTGAAGTGCATTTTGTAGTTCAGTAGTTACATACAAGAAAGCTAAGTATATCACGGTGACATTTGAGAAGGCATTTATAAAGGTTTCTAGAGGGCAAAAAAACATTCTCTAGCGTATTTAAAGCTGATTACTCGTTTTTATTTTTTGTGACCTTTCTTTGTGCTTTTTTTCCCCTAAAAAACAGGTTTGCTTCTTTTCTTTGGTTGAAAACAATATAGGCATATAAATTATAGCTTTGACTACTGTAGACTGATTTGATATTAGTCATGATAGGGCAAGATGATTTAAACCAGGTGCTATTCTGGCTCCTTTCAGAGGTTTTATTTAACATAAAGCTATCCTGAAAGGAAAAAAATAACATAGAAAAGTTTAATATATTTGATGCTTTCATATTATTTCATTTTTCAATAAAGTTAAATGACAGATATGCTTCATCCTTCTGTTGATTGGTAGCATTGGAAAGTCAGTTTCAAATGGTTAGAGACAATCTACCAGGTCATCATCAGTCCATTCTTCCTCTTCATGCTTGGGTTTCTTTGAGACCTAATCATCATAGTCTCTCCTCTTCTTCGTAATTATGTTAAGGGCAAGCTCAGCAGAGTGACATCTCTCCAACTTCTGTTTCAGAACAGCAACTTCTTCAGATCTGGGTAGCTCATATTTTTTACCAAGTTTCTCATACTTTTCATTATATCTAGTAACTGTGACAAGCAAGTTCTGTTCTCTTTCAGCATCAGACTTTCTGACAAATAACTTTCCATAGTAATTCCTGCTTGAGATGCACTAGATAAAATGGCAGTCAGGACAATTTGGGAAGGTGTGTATAAAAGGTAAGCATCCCTCAATGCAATTCTATTAAGAAAGTCATCAGCTGTTTTCCTCAACATCGCTGGATTCTCCATCATGGGGTAGCGAGTCTTTAAATCAATGAGAAAGCCCTCAAACGGTCTATAAGGATTGTGGACAATAAGGTAGAAATTAAGTTGCTGTATAAGAAGTAGTTCATATGCCAAAATCTGTTCAAGTGCCTCTTCTTGCTCAAGAGGACTCTCCTGCAGATTCCCAGCGAACTGTGGACTAGATACATTGAATCCATCTACTTTGCAGGCCAAAATTCGCAAGTTAGCATTATTATCCAGGGGTGATATTCCATTACTGAATCATGAAGATAAAAACGCTTGAAATACATACAAGCTGTACCCACAACAGACCTTAGCATTGCTGGCTTAAACACAGAATAGAATTCTAATAATCTCTTCTCATAGTATTTGCAAAGCATCATTTCTTCATGAGGCTCAAGGAAGACTGGATCATTTGGAAGAAACTTCCCATTGGCCAGCACTTTGCATTTGAATTTGCAGTTGGTGTTGGCCCACAGTCGTGCCAGCTGCCCCTCACTGGCGAAAGTCCAGTGCCGCTTCTGGCCACTGTGTTGGTACATCACAAAATCCTAAAGCAGGCCCAGGAGTCTGGACAAAAAGACCCCAAGCACCACAACCCCGTGGGGAAAATAAGCACCTAAGGCATCATCGCAAGCCTGTGGAAACTGAGGGCATCAGTTCAGTCCAGTCAGGTGCATTTATGTTAAGATCATAGAGCTTATTTTTTTTTTTTAAGATTTTATTTGATTGAAAGAGAGAGTGCAAGCTCTAGATGGGGGAGGGTCCGAGGGAGAAGCAGACTCCCCACTGAGCAGGGAGCCCCACGCCAGCCTCCATTCCAGGATTGCAGGTTCATGACCTGAGCTGAAGGCAGACACTTAGGAGCCCCCAGGTGCCCCTTACAAAGAGTTTATTGTTGTACCTTCTGGGTGTTTTGTGTGTTTGGATCTCAGATTTAGGTCTTTAATCCATCTTGAATTTATTTTGTATATGGAGTACAAAAGTAGTCTGGTTTCATTCATTTGTATGTAGCTGTCCAGTTTTGCCAACACCATTTAACAAAGACACTGTCCTTTCCCCCTTTGTATATTCTTGCCTCTATTGCCATATGTTAATTGGCCATATGAGTTTATATCTAGGCTCTCTATTCTGTTCCATTGATCTATGTGTTTATGTAACCATACTCTTTTGGTTCCTATAGATTTATAATATAGTTTGAAATATGGATTGTGATAACTCCAACTTTGTTCTTAAGATTGCTTTCATGATTTAGGGCCATTTGTGGTTCCATACAAATTTTAGGATTCTTGTTCTAGTTCTGTGAAAAATGCCATTGGTATTTGATGGGAATTGCTTGAATCTGTAGATTGTCTTGGGTAATAGAGACAATTTAATAATATTCTTCCAATCCATGAACATGCTATATCTTTCTATTTGTGTCATCTTCATCAATGTTTTGTATTTTTTCATCTTTTTTGAAACATATTTGTGTTTCTTTCATCAATGTCTTACACAACTACATTCTTATATTCAGAGTACCAGTCTTTCACCTTGGCTAAATTTATCCTAGGTATTTTATTCTTCTTGATGCAATCATACTGTTTTCTAAATTTCTACTTTTCGTAGTTCGTTAGTAGTGAATAGAAACACAACAAATTTCTGTATATTCTGTATTCTGCAATTTTACTGAGTTTATTAGTACAAAGAGTTTTTTGGTGGTCTTTTGGGTTTTCTGTGTGTAGTATCCTGTCATCTGCAAATAGTGATGGTTTTGCTTCTTCCTTTCCAATTTTGATGCCTTTTATTTCATTTTCTGGTCTGATTGCTATAGCCAGGACTTCCAGTACTATGTTCCATAAAAGTGGCAAGAGTGGGAATTCTTGTCTTATCCCTGATCTCAGAAAAAAAGCTTTCAGCTTTCCACCATTTTTTATGTTAGCAGTATGTTCATTAAATATGGCTTATGTTATGTTGAGGTATGTTCCTTTTATAGGAGGATGTTGAATATTGTCAAATCATTTTTCTGCACCTGTTGAGATGATCTTATGATTTTTGTCTTACATTAATGTGGTTTATCACGCTGACTGATTTGGAGATAATGAACCATCTTGTATCCCTGTACTAAATCCCACTTGAGTGTGCTGTATTTCCTTTTAATGTATTGTTGAATTTTGTTTGCCAATATTTTATTGAATATTCTTGAATTTATATTTATCAAGGACACTGGCCTGTAATTTTTTAAATTTTTTATTAATTTTTTTTGGAGTGTCCTTGTCTGGTGTACTATCAGGTTAATGCTGGCCTGGTAGAATAAATTTGGAAGCATCCCTTCCTCTTCAATTTTTTGGAATAGTTTGAGAAGGATATGTATTACCTCTTCTTTAAATGTTTAGTAAATTCACCTGTGAAGCCATCTGCTCCTGTACTTTTATTTCCTGAGACTTTTTGATTACTAAAAATAAAGTTAAATCAGGAATCAATCTGTTCAGAATTTCTAGTTTTTCCTGATTCAGAAAAATTGCATGTTTCTAGGAATTTATCCATTTCTTCTGGGTTTCCCAATTGGTTCACATGTAATTGTTTATAAAAGTTTCATAATCTTTTGTATTTTTGTGGTGTCAGTTGTACCTTCTATTCCATTTCTCATTTATTTGAATTCTCTTTTACGTGATGAGTCTGGCTAAAGTTTTATCAATTTTGTTTATATTTTCAAAGAACCAGCTCTTAGTTTCATTGATCTTTTCTATTCTTTTGTTGTTGTTGTTGTCTCTATTTTCACTCTAATTTTTATTCTTTCCTTCCTTCTGCTAACTTTGGGCTTTTTTTGTTCTCCTTTTACCAGTTCCTTTAGGTGTAAAGTTAGGTTTTTTGTTTGTTTTGTTTTGTTTTTGAGATTTTTCTTATTTGTTGAGGGAGCCCTGTATTGATATCAACTTCCCTCTTAGCACTGTTTTTCCTGAATCTCCTAGATTTGGTGATGTTGTGTTTTCATTTTCATTTGTCTCCAGGTATTTTTTTTATTTGATTTCTTTGTTGGCCCTTTGGTTGTTCAGTAGCCTGTTAAGCCTCTATGTGTTTTTTTTTTTTTTCCATTTTTTTTCTTGTAATTGATTTCTAGTTTCATACCATTAAGGTTGGAAAAGATGCTTAATATGATTTAAATCTTAAATTTATTGAGATTTGTTGTGGCCTAACTTGTGATTTATCCTGGAGAATGTTCCACATGTACTTGAAAATAATATGTATTCTGCTGTTTTTGGTTGGAAATTTCTGTATATATCTGTTAAGTGTCTCTGGTCTAATGTGTTATTCAAAGCCAATGTTTCCTTTCCAAAGCCAATTTTCTGTCTGGATTATCTATCCATTGATTTAAGTGGTAGTATTAAAGTCCCCTACTATTACCATATTACTGTCATTTTATCCCTTTACATCTGTTAATGCTTGCTTCATATATTTGGGTGCTTTCATATTGGGTATATAGATATTTATAACTGTCATATCCTCTTGTTGGATTGATCTCTTTATCATTATGTAATACTCTTCTTTGTCTCTTGTTAGTCTTTGATTTTAAGTTTATTTTGTCTGATATAACTATTGTTACCCTAGCTCTCTTGTTTCCATTTGCATATAATTAACTTTTCTATCCTTTCACTTTCAGTCTATATGTGTCCTTAAGTATGAAACAAGTCTCTTGTCGATGGTCTTGTTTTTTTATTCATTCAGTCCTACTATATCCTGGAGCATTTATTCCATTTAAAGTTAAAGTAAATATTGATGGGTATTTACTTATTGCCATTTGTTAATGGTTTCTGCTTATTTTTGTAATTGTTCTCAGCTCTTTTCTTCTATTTCTCTCCTGCCATGTGATTTGATGATTTTCTTTAGTGTTATATTTGGATTCCTTTCATCTTATTTTTTAGTGTATCTGTTATAGAGTTTTGGTTTGTGATTACCATGAGATTTATATATAACACCCAGCGTATGTAGCAGTCTATTTTAAGTTGATGCTCACTTACGTTTGAACAAATTCTTAAAGCCTTACATTTTCATTGCCCCCTCCTTTTATGTATTTGATGTCCTATTTTACATCTTTTTGTATATCCCTTAACTAAATATTACAGGTACAGTTGATTTTACTACTTTTGTCTTTTAGCCTTCATAGTAGTTTTGTACATAGTTAATCCACTACCTTTACTATGTATTTGCTTTATACATAATTTTTTTTCTTTCATAACTTTCTTATTTATAGTTATGGTATTTTCTTTTCCACTTAAGTCCCTTTGACATTTCTTAAATCTGGCTTAGTGATGAACTCCTTTAACTTTTGTCTGGGAAACTCTTTCAAATCTGAATGATAATTTTACTGGGTAGAATATTCTTGGTTGTTGGCTTTTTTCTTTTCAGCCCTTTGAATATATTATGTCCCTGCAAAGTTTCTGCTAAAAAATTAGCTCATAGCCTTATGAGGTTTCTCTTGTATGTAACTATTGCCTTTTCTCTGGCTGCTTTCAAAATTCCTTATCTTTTACTTTTGCCATTTTAATTGTTACTGTATATTGGTGTGGCCTTCCTTGGGTTTATCTTATTTGGGGCTTTTTGTGCATCCTGGAACTGGATGTCTGTTTTCTTCCCAAGGTTAGGGACATTTTCAGATATTATTTCTTCAAATATGTTTTCTGCCCCTTTCTCTTTCTGAGACCCCTATAATGTGAATTTTAGTATGCTTGATGTTGTCCTTTATCTTAACTTTTAAAAGAAAATATATTTTTGCTCTCTGGTTGGATGATTTCCACTACCTTGTCTTCCAGATTGTTCCATTCTTCTGCAACCTCTAATCTGCTGTTGATTTTCTCTACTGTATTTTTCCCTTCAGTTGTTGTATTCTTCATCTATGATTGGTTCTTTTTTTTATTTCCATCTCTTTGTTAAAGCTCTCTGTTTATTTTTCTCTCAAGGTCAGGGATTACCTTTATTACCATTACTTTGAACTCTTTATCAGGTAGGTGGTTTATCTCCATTTCCTTTAGTCTTTTTTCTGAGTTTTTTTCCTGAGGTCTTTCATTTGGACCTTGTCTTCTCTGTCATTATTTTGCCTGGTTCACTGTGTTTGTTTCTATGTAGTAGGTACATCAGCTATGTCTCCTGGTCTTAAAGTGATTGCCTTATGTAGAAAGCATCCTGTGGGGCCTAAAATTGCAATCCTTCATGATCACCAGAATCAGGTGCTCTAGGAGTGTCTCATATTTTGTGTTGTATATTTTCTCTTATTGTGGGTAGGTTGCTGCAGATGCACTGGCTGGTGGGGCTGACCCCCTGCCCAGCTGGTTGTGATCCCCAGCTGTGACTCCTACAGACTCACTGTTGGATGGGGCTGTTCACCCCCCCACCCCTTCCTGCATGACTGACTGAGTGTCTCAGCTGCAGTTGCTGTAGATGCACTGCTGGGCAGGGCTACCACCCCTCCCTGCCGGTCAGCCTCTTTGGAGGGGCACCAGTCTCAGCTGATATCACCTGCTGGGTGTGGTGGGGTGGGAACCACTTGGGGGGGTGCCAGTAATGCCCAGTTTGCCTACTGGTGTGCAGGGTGCTGGCTACTTTGGAGGGGCACCTGCCAAGACAGGTGGATTGG